ACACACACACACACACACACACACACACACACACACACACACACACAAACACACTCCTAGTGGGCTCATCTTATGATGAGAACCCTTGGTGGCATAAAAAGCCATTCTAATGAGCCAGGAATACGTACACCATTCACTCCCATGTCTTTGGCAGTCTCTCCTGAAACCTCAGTGGTATGCACACAGCTGCTGTTAGTGAGACTGTGGCTGGAGAATAATGACACCACAAGTAGCTGTGACAAAGGAAAACCTATGGGATTTCTGACACGGTAGCGACCACAGAGATTGCCTTTAATACCAGGGGCCTGCGAAAAGTGACAGAGTCCTAGGTATGTTTGCAATAACAAGACCCTTTTGGGTTATGGTACAAAAGTCAAACCTGAAGGGAGAAACAGTAATTCATATTGCCAGACACTGTTAAAAGAGTTATATTCCCTGAATTAGAGATTAAGAAATGGTATATACGACTTTATAATCAAAGATCAGCACACAGTTACAATGTCACTGAAATCTCAATTCTAACATAAACTTATTTACATTTCTATGTGTCATTTATTCAGATAAAGCCATACTGAAAGCTAAATTTTGGTCTATCTTGAGTAGGCTTACTTTCAGTGAGCTTTTCTCATACCAATTATTCTTGAATAAAAGTCACCCTGTATTGTGCTCGCTTCGGCAGCACATATACTAAAATTCACCCTGTATTATAAAAGTAGTAATTGTTAAAGTTTAATTTTTATTATTTTCATCTCTGTGTGTGCGCATGTGTGTTTGTCTGTGTATGTAAGCACATAAGTGCAAGTGCCTATGGAAGTGAGGGCCATCAGGTCCCCTGGAGCTGGAGTTACAGCTCCAGGTAGCTGCAAGCCAACGAGGGTGCTAGGATCTGAACTCAGATCCTCTGGAAGAGCAATACACATTTGGAACCACTGAGCCATCTCTCCAGTCCCCAAAAGCAAGCACATTTTTGTTTTCAAAACATAAAATGTGGGTGTGGGGTGTGGCTCCGTCGATACAGTGCTTGCCTAGCATGCACAAAGTCCTGGCTTTCATTCCCACAGCACCACAGCAGCGTGTGGCAGCACAGGCCTGGACCCCAGCACCTGGGAAGGAGGAACAGGATGATCAGAAATTCAAGGTCATCTTCAGCTACATGTTGAGTTTGAGTTTGAATACAAGAGACCCTGTCCCAAAAAAATAAGCCAACAACAGAACCCAGGCCATGGAGATGGCTCAAAGCGAAGAGGTGCTTGTGTACAGGCTTGATGAGCTAAGTTCCACCCCAGGTCTCATAAAGTCACACACAAACACAAACAAATCTCTCACACCTACAACATTTTAAAATGCTCAAATATATACAGTACAGTATAAGGGCAGTCATGCAGACACATAAACAATGCAAGCACTGTGAGCACGCACAGCTCCAACTGTCCGTGCGGACTCTCCTTATCCCACTTCTCTCCTCCATTTGAGACTCACTGACCTAGAGAACGTTCAGCCTGTGTGTGTTAGCGACACCACTATATCACCAGTAGGCCAGGCTTATTAGGGAAACACATGTACAAGCCTCACAGCCAGCAAGCGACCAGCAGAGGTGGCAGCAGGCTGCCCTGCCTACCTGAGCATCTGCTTTTTGTGGTTCTCCACTTCCTGAAGTAGAAGCTGCTTGTCGGATTCCTTGTCTTGCTCCCTTGCTGATTGCTCAAGCTCCTTGGAGAGGAAAAAAGTTTTTGGCCAGCATGAAAAACCAAGAGTACTTCTGTTTTTAGCAGAGACACAAAAGCAACTAAAGCATCCTTTACCACAGACACTTGGGAGTGAGAGAGCATGTCCAAAATAATCAGGTATCCTTTTAAAACTACAGGCAAGTTTGCAAGAGAGAGAAGCAAATCCCAGCAGCCCAAAGGTGAGGAGGGACCCGGGTGTGGAGTGGTCAGCTCTAGAATGGCTGCCCTAGCTGGAGCTGGGATTGCTACTTGTACAACCTTGAGCCTGCTGAAATAAAGAAAAAAGCTCACAAAACAAGAGCCCACTGATCCCAACTCAATGCCAGGAGGAAACACACTACTATGTGTTTCCAAATGTTGCCCATTTCTGTAACTACTCCAATCTATTTTGATTTTGAGGGGGATGGCAGAGGATGCGCTATGGGCTTTGGCTAGAGGAATGATTTATCTTTCCTGAGTGGTTTGAGAACTGAATGGAAGAGAAATTAACATAAGCAGTGTCTCCAGACTTGTGATAATCCTGGAGACTGAGAGATGTGCCCTGGCCAGGCTGCAGAGGCTCCAGGAGAGGTGTGCAGAAGGTCGGTGTTCATGATCCAAAACACCAAGGAGAGAGTCTACTGTGAGCAAAAGGCAGAAGACATGACCAACAGCATCCGGCCAAGATAATGGACCCGTCACACACACTGTAAAGATGCCACAACACCTCAGGTCTCAAGTCCTATTTTCACAAGTTCCACTTTCAAGCAAACCATAGAGCTCAAACATCAACACATTAACTAATTAAGATAATAATTTACTTATTCCAATACAAATTTACATATGCTGGTTTGTAACAAGCATGTGTATCTATGTATCATTTCAACAGCTTGGAAATTATTTCCAGGTTTATGCCCCACAAGTATTGCTAGAGCAGAAAATAGAACAATTGACTGTGAATTGGAAAAAAAAAATGTATAACTGAGTATGGTGGCACAGGCCTGTAATCCCAGCACTCGAGGCAGGCAGATCTCTGTGAGTTTGAGGTCAGCCTGGTCTACATAGTAAGTTGAGGACAGCCAGAACTACGTAGTGAGACCCTGTCTCAAGAAAAAAAAAAAAGGAAAAAAGTGCAAATTTTCACCAGTTATTTGACATAATTTTTTGGGTTAGAACACCCACAAAGCTGTCACTGCACAAATAATCTTGTAGTCTGTTTTTTGCTACATTGATCTCTTTTGCCTGGCAGTGGGTCACTGAGATGGACAGGAAAAATGGAGATAGGACAAAGGAAGGAAAAATGTACAATTTCCTTAGAAAAGGCTGCTTGGAAGTTGTCACAGAGTACCCAATATCTCTGGAGAAATGAAAGGTGTTCTGTTATTCTCAAATTCCAGCTGAAGAGACACAGATGCAAAGACAGATATTTACACAGAGCCATGCCCAAAATCAGATAGGTAGGGCACAGCGTAATTCTCATTTACAGACAGCCATGTCCATATCAACTGCATAGGGAACAGCACAGCTGTGAACACATGAGGCCGCTTCTCTTCTGTGAACACACGACCTTGTTGAAATACACAACATTCGATTAAGTGCTTTCGGTAGTTCCAGGTATAGATAGAGTATTCAAATGCTAAGGAAAGGTAGATGAGAGTTGGGATACCATTCAATGGCCTATCACCTTGCTAGATGCCAGCAACATATTTATGTTCACAGACAAACTGTAATGGGGTCCAGAGTGTGATAAATAGGTAAACGTATTGGTGAGGATATTTACTCAAAACCAGGGGAGGAAATAAACACCAGGTAAATATGCAAATACTTATTCAACAGTGGTAGTTAGAGTTGGGAGAGTTTGAAGAAAACAAATTAGCTCTAAGAATAAAAACATAGAAGCAGCCCAAATGAATGCTCGTTAGTAAAGAAACGGCAGGAGAAAATTACAACTTTACAACTGTATAAAAAGGCTGGGTGGCTGTTCAAGTGGAGGTCTTCCCGACACAGGTAGGCTGTGGCATGGCCACTCCCAGAAGGAGAAGCATCAGCAGAACAACTCTGGGAAGATGTGGATGCGACAAATCAGAGCAGTTACTTATTTGGAGGAGGAGATGCAGAGAACAAATAAAGAACATCACCAAGACACAGAACCAAGACCAACATCTGTGGACACACAAGGAAATAGAACACAGAGGAAGCAAGGTTTTTGCAAGTTTGAAAGGAAGAAGCAGTGCTGGAGATGGAGATCACTGATACATGGTGACAGTGATCTGAAACCGCCCTGGGAAATCTTAGGAGGGTAACACACAAGAAGCTGTCCAACCCGCCCACTCTCCCAGCAGCTTCGGAAGAGACTGTCTTCCTCTGCTAGGCAACTGAAGAGCTGAAGGACCATTTGGGGAAGATGCCATTGACCACATGCAGTGAATCCAGGTGGCTCTGGACACCCAACCTTCCCCTCCAGTTATGGGCGGATTCACAGCACCCATTCCTGCCGGCGCAGCAGTGGAGCTGGCTCTGCTAGTCATGTGGTTCCTTCTCATGTGGTTCCTTCTCACTCTTGGGTTTTGAGACAGCTCGTGCACCGTAGTGAAGTCAGGTGGGATAATGAGCGCACGATGGAAGCTCTGGCTCCAGAAACTGTGAGGAGGCTAACTCGAAAAATGATAGCATGGGAAACACCCAGGACATGCTGGCAATGGATTCAGCAGAGAACGAGTGCATAGCTTCCAACTTTGTTAGTCCAGTCACCCTCACCGTCACAACGGTTCCTGCTCTCTCCAGGTGGCACGTGGGGAGCCTGGTCAACTCTCATGCAAAGGCTATTCTAGGCCAGAGCTCCCACCCCTGCGCCGCACCCTCCGCTAACAGTGGTTCTGTAGCCTCACTTACCTGTATCCTGTGCCTTAACTGTTGAAACTTTTCTTTCACCTTAGTATTCAGTTCAGTGAGCTCGCTTAAGGGTCCAGAACAATCTCGAATATCCTAGAAGGCAATGGAAAAGTGAAAGGCTGATTTAGGCCACAGCTAAGATTGGCCTAGGTCTACGTAGTCCTGCTCAATGCTGTTCTCTTCTGCACAAGAGCAAAACCATCATTTTCAGTCTTCTCATCCCTCTTACAACTGAGAAGAATACGTAAAAGCAGGCTGGAATGTAGTTCAGTGGTAAGCACACTTGCACAGCATGCTTAGATTTCCTGGGTTTCATCACCAGCAAAATACACACACACAGTCTGTCTGTCTGTCTGTCTCTCTCTCTCTTACACACACACACACACACACACACACACACACACACACACATACACACACCCCCCTTGTATGTATTATATATATCCAGACAAATAAATAGTTCGCTAGGAAAGACTCAACCTTGACTTAAAAGTTTAACAAAATGCTTTCCGGGCACTATGAAAGACTTATGCAGCTTCCATGTTCAACCAAAAAAGGCAACTGAAAGACACTGTAACTTCAGCTCCTTCTCTAAAATCCAGACACCTAAACCCCTGGTAACATGGAACAAAATTAACTTAGTCTGATTTTGCAAACCATGTGCTGCAAGTCATAATTTTAAAGGTGGACTGAGAACTTGCTTCTGGAGAGAAAGTCAGAATTCCCAGAGCCAAGCTTTAGAGTGGGCTCTAAAGTTAGCCTGTGTATATTCAAGTCCTGATTACAGCAATTTATTAGTGCAATTCTTGAAAACCCTTAAGTCCTCTGTGTCTCCGTTGCTTCATCTTAACTACCTCAAGGTCATATCTCTCTGCAAAAAAAAAAAAAAAAAAAACACTTAGCAGAGTAGCTGGACCACCACAAGAATACAATGTAAAGGGTTACGCTTACTCATTAGTAACCACAAGAATCCAAAGTATATAGGTCACAAAGGAGACCTAACTAAATGAAATATTATGATAACATAAACAGTATGATAATATGAAAACACATAGTCTCCTATTGGATATAGTCCTTTTTTTTGAGATGGGGGGGGGTCATTCTATAGTATAGGCTGGCCTCAAATTCATGATCCTCATGCCTCTACTTCCCGAGTGGTAGAGCCACCACACTAGCAACTTCATGTATGTATATGTATATTTATGTGTGCTCTGAGGTCTGAAACCAGAGCCTTACACACGGCTAAACTTTAACTCTGCCCTGAGTTACATTTATCCCCAGACCCTGGTGATTTCACTTGTATAAACCCAATCTTACTTGTCTAGAACTGGTCCAGGTGTGTTCCATCGCGGGAGTGACTTTTGCATCAAGTTCCTTCACTCACTCTCTAGCTTACTCATGAAATCACACTTCCTCGAAGACTAGGATAAACTACTACTGTATTGTGTGCATTTGGTTTATTAGAGAACACTACTTCACACACACACCCTTTTACAGGGACTCTCGTACCCCAGAAATCACTACCTATTTATGCAGCACTGGGGTGCTTGGCAAGCACTCACCAGCAGAGCCACACTCTTATCTTTTTATTTGCTGTCACAGCTTGTATTCTGAGCCGTTTGGGTTCTTTTTGCCAAACTCGAGCCATTCCCTGCTCTTGCCTGTGTTAGCTTTCTTGTACTACTGTCTCCTACTTACACCTTCTTCCAGACAAGCTTCCCACTTCCCCGGCTGTTAAACCGGGTAGGGAAGCTCTAAAACGCTTTTCCTAAGCTGGCTTTCCCCACCCAGGTCCTAGTATTGGCACTGCCTGCCTTCTGAACCAGGACTTGGCACAGTATTTGATTTCTTCATTCAAAAAATTACAACCCACGGTCCAGGTTACGTTAGCTTCGGCCAGGGACTCCCTTGCCAAGTGGCCTTGGGTGCCCTCCGGGCCCCTAACATTGAAAAGTAGGTGTGGGAGGCAACAGGGGAGGGGCAGGGAGGGACTACCTCCGAGACTGCGGGTGGGCGGGGTAGCCCGGGACCTCTACAGTGTGGCCAAGGGACTGAGGCGGTGTAAGGGCACCCCAGAGACGGGTGAGTCAACATGCAAAAGAAAAGCGCTGAACGTCAGTGATCCCCAGGAACCAACCGTATGGTGCCCGAGGAGCCGACCTGGAGCGGGGTAGTGGGCCTGGGAAGCTGCGCCGGGCGCGAAGGTTCTGGAGAACTCTTAAGGCGGCCAACGAGAGCCCGGCAGGAGCCGGAGATATGTACCTGGATAAGTGCCTTCACCTCCAGGTCGAATTTGACAATCTCCTGGTTACAGATCCGGACGTGGACATCCTGGGGAGCCGCCATGTTGGAGACGCAGCTACGGAAAGCGGCTGCGGCCAAACTTGAGCACATTCGCGTGCAGCCTGCCCACCTTCTCCGCATGTTGCGTCGCCGCCGGAGACCCGGCGCGGAGCAGGCCAGGTTGCCAGCCCAGACCTGGACCTTTCCTTGACACGTAGAACATGCACAGCCTCTCCCATCTGCTTCTACTAAACGGAAAAGTGAAAAGTGATTATGAAGAACAGTTAGGGTGGGGGTGGGGGGATAGTGACGGGGAATTCAGCTCACTGGAGGATGAGTTTGCCGGCCACCAGGCCTTGGGTTTTGTTCCCTAGGGAACAACAACGAAAAACTCCGCTGAACAGTGGTCACTTTCTATTATTCAGGGACCAGCTATTCTAGTGACTTTTTTCATAGGAAAAAAAAAAAGTACTAAAACGTTGCAATTTTTTTCTTTAAACTTTAAAACAAAATTTCTACATTAAGTATGAATTAGAGTAAGACACAAAATGTGTAATTTGTAGACTTTAAAGCAGGTCACTGGGGTACTTCCATCAAGACAACCATGATCTGGGGCTTTCTCATATACAGAACTTACATTTCCTTACACATTTTTAGGGCTCTGGTTCTGCTTTGTGTAGAACTGGATTACAAGTATCTCACAGTAGAGGTTCTGGTTACGTCATGTAGTTTTGAATGAAACAATGTCAGTGCAAACCGCAAAGAAGGGTGGTGCTTTTTAAAATTATTTCTTGAGAGGTCCTCTAGCCTTGGGTGTAGGGTTTCCTCTTTTAAAAACGTTTTTCTCACACTGCACACACAGCCCCTTCGGTGGTGGAGTACCAGCCAGTCTCCACAGCACCAACTTCCTAAGAGGTGCTCCATTCCTCACTGCAAGTAACCAAGGCCTGGATTCCAGGCTTGTGGCTGTCAACCTCGCTCTAGCTTCCTCCAGGCTAACTTGATCATCAGCGGCATCACTCCTAAGGCTGCCTGAGGAATGAGGTAATACAAACTCCTTAAGCATTGTTGACAATGAGGTATTGAACTCAATGCCTGCTAGTGGCTCTTCACAGATGACTAAGCAACACTGGGAACACTACCGTATGTGCAGGCATTTTCTACTAAGTGCCTCACTTGCATAGTCCCACTTGGCTTGTTCCGCTACAGGAAGTGGAAAGCGGAAAGGGCAGAACAAATAGACTAGGTGAAAGGACATATGTATTTTATCTTTGCTTTTCTGAGGCAGTGTCTCATGTAGCCCACGCTGCTTTCCAACTGAACTACGTAGCCAAGGAAGACCCAGAACACTTGATCGTCTTGCCTTAGTCTCCCAAGTGCTGGAATTACAGCCATTGATTGCCACAGCTGCCTGACATGTATTTTAACTTCACACAGGCTTTCATATTTCTTTCCTGTCTGGGTGTGGTGGTGCATACCTTTATCGAAGCGCTCAGGAGGTGGAGGCAGGTGGATCCCTGTGAGTTCCAGACTAGCCAGGACTATAGTGTGAGGCCCTGTCCCAAAAGAACAAAAGTAGAAAAAAATTCTCTTCATACAGCTCGTATCAGTTTACCCTGCAGGAGCAAAACTGTAAAAATGCCCACTTCCTTTAGCCCCACCAGCATGGTGTGCTGACACTGGATTCTTATCATTTAGTCTCTTTCTCAAAAAATGCCTTTATTTTGCATCTCTCATGATAAGACTGAGAAATGTTTCAAAGCAATCACATTTACTTTGCTCTCATTTTTCTACAGAGCCATCAATCTACTCTGTATTAGTTTCCAGGAGCTCTTTCTGTACAAGTTTTTACATGGGTTGCAAACTTTGTAGCATTTTGATTTTGCTGATGGTGCTTTTTTACTTTGAAGATCATTTAAATATTCATGGTTTCACATAACACTGATGGATCTTTATTTATGACTCTTAGACTTGGGTCTATGGTAAAAAGTCCTTCCCATTCCCAAGGATTTAAGATGGTCCATCTCAAAAGAAAAAAAAAAAAAAAAAACGATGGTCCACCTCCCCTTCTAGTAGTTATGCTTTTTAAAACACTTGTATCTTTACCCATTTTGAAATATACATAGCTTGTAGTGTGAGATGCAGAACCAACGTGATATTTTCTGAGTTACTCAGTGGCTCCAACACTTTAGAAAACTCCCCCCTTTTTACACTGGTTCTAGCTGCCACACTGACTATGCTGTTATAGATATAGTTGAATCTTTCAAACTCACTAATCTACGTGCCTGTCCCTTTAGGCACTAAATGGCAGTTGGTATGCAGTCTTCTAGATGATAGGATTTATCTTCTCCTAACCACAACATGTTTCCACTATTGTTTTTTCCTCACAACTTCAGGACACTCATGGTTTATTGTGTTAAGATGGCATCACATTTTTAATGTGACTCAGCACCAGTAACTCCTAAGTTGACAAGTCCTGATCTGGAATCTAGCGTGTATTTTCATTCACTCATTCACTCACTCTTCTTTCAATTTTGTACATTTTCTGTTTTTTATTCCAAGCACTATTTTAAGATTAAAAACATTTAAAGAAATATATTGACATTCAAATTACTATAACGTTCAGAGTAAAGCTCCCCATTTAGGACACTGGTAAAACCCCGAAGTCAGCAGGAGGCAGATTGTCATAACTTTGGACCCTCAGCTACCATCCTTCTTGGCGAAATTCCTATGTCACCAGCAGTCTGCAGTAGCAAGAGCAAGAAGCTCCCCAGGTCTCTATTTCTTGAGACACTTTGTTCCACGAGGACAGCCCAATATTACACCCTAAACTGGAAGCTACCTGGAAGGCGCAGCTGCACAGCCAGCACATCCCATCTTGGAAGTCCCTTCTGCCCTATTTCGCTCCTTTCATTCAGTAGCTGTCTTTGCTACATTGACTAGGCTTTAGATCCTTTTGACTTTCAGATTCTGAATGCATTGCTTTCCTTTGCATGAACAGTCTTCCAGATATTGCTCGTGATTTGGCCTGGTACATCTGAGATAAGCACGAATTGTCCTCAGAGTGCCTCAGGTATCCCGGAGTGTGAACTGAGTATCATCATTGGCTGGATGTAGCCTGAGTGTTGTCGTCAGGAGTGCTGATAGACTCTTCTGTAGAAGGCACAAGGCCTCCAGCTCCCTAGGCCTGACAGTACAGGAACGCTCTTATAAGACAACTAGCAAAGCTTGAGGACCACCCCTGTATGTAAGGACAGCTACTATGTTCTAATTCTAAACCTTTTAGCTGAATTATGACAGCACTTAATATTTTTCTTTCAAATCTTCATTGCACTACAGCTTATGAATTCATTAGTTAGCTAGGTGTGGTGGCACATGCCTTTAATCCCAGTACTTGGGAGGGAGGAGCAGTCATTTCTTTGTGAGTTTGAGGCCAGCTTGGCCTGGTCTACAAAGTTAGTGCCAGGACAAACAGGGCTGTTACACAGAGAAACCCTGTCTTGGGACTGGGGGGGGGGGGATAAAAAAAGTAATTCACCAGTTGATGTGTTTCACTGATGCTATCTAGAAGACTGCACTGATCCAGCTCAGCTAGCTTCTAAGAATTCCCAACACTGCGAGAAGGGCCCTTGTAATTTAGTCCTCAAAGGTAAGTCCTGCAGGAAAATCAGCCACAAGAGAACACAACTACTTTAATTTCTTTTTTAATGGCCTCAGTATCATTCAGAGGGGGAGAGAGAGAGAGAGAAAAAAAAAAAAGGGTGACATCTTATGTGCCTGTATGTGGGCCAGTGGTCAGCTTCGGCTGTCATCCCTCAGGTGCTGTCCTGTTTTGGGACAGGTTTTCAAGTTTCCAAGTAGGCTATGCAGGCCTGTGTCACCGAGTGTCCACACTATACCTTGCTGTTCACCTGAGTGTGGAACTAAGGTCCTCAAGCTTGCCTGGCACTCTGACAAACGAGCTATCTCCTCAGCCCTCATTGTCTTCTTTAACATCACCACAGGATGTCATACCTTGAGCTTTTCTTGTGTTTTCTGCTCACACATTGCGCCCTTCAGTGACTGACTTTGTGGAGATCTCTTCAATCCCTCTGAAACCCAGCACTTACACAAACATCCTGGCAGAGTAGGTTCTCAGCAAATGCTTGTGGCTGAAGAACATATACTCCCTAAGCCGCCTTCACCCAGGCAGGTCCCTCTGGCTTAGGAACACAGCTCCCCTAGCCTGAAGACTGTTTTGCTACTTTGTTTTTCTGAAAGAAATCCCTTGTCCAAATTTTCGAAGGACAAATTAAGTAGTAAACACTGCTTACAAAGAAAGCAAACTGTTTCTATCAAATAACTCTATGGTATAGCCAAACCTCACTTAAGTATTAAAATCCCAGCTTCCAGTGTCAGTATACCTTAGCTCTCTGGACACGCCCCAAAGAGAGGAAGCACGGTTGGCTCCCACTGCGGAGTGTGGCTGGAACTGTCTTTGAACAGTTCATCTTGAGGAATGGATGACTGCTGTGTTGCAGGCAACAAAACAGAGAAGAGACAAAATGGAATCAAACCATCAAAACCTTTTTGTATTTTTTATTTTAAATTACAAAGGGTGCTGCATACACTGATGATTCTGTGTCTGACTACAAGTGCGGACAGGTTAGAGGGTGACAGAAAACAAAGCAACCTGTGCATGGCCTTCTCCTGAAAGGAAAACTGCACAACTATTAACCAACATTGAGTCATTTTTTAAACAGCTCATGCATGAACAAGATACAGTTTTCTTTCTAGACAAGAGACAAGACTGAATCCAATAAAGTGTCACAGCTCCAGCTGGGGGCAGAGAATAAACAAAACTACTGGAGTCTTTATGATCATATCACAGACAGGCTCCTAAGTGCAACTACTCGAAGAGGCTGCCAAACCGTAGGAGCAAATGCTTTGTATTCTTGCCTTTCCATGTTGGCAGCTCCGGAGTCATTGTGAACCACAAATGCTTACGCTATAGGACAGACTTTAGGGCAAGAAGACAATAGTAGGCAGTGGAGTACAGTGTCGTAAAACATGTGGTGGAAAGGCAGATACAGTACACATACAGTTTTATTTAGTTCTGAAAAAAACAAAAACAGAACAAAGGGCAAGACACAGAATCAG